CTATTTACGATTTGTCGACATATTTTATTAAAGTGAAATAACTACCGAAATATAGCCAAAATTAGGTTTTTGTGTCTCCTTTTTAGCGATTTTTTGAAAATTTATTTAAAAGTTATTCAACCTATTTCAAATCTTTTTAAAAAGCAGTTTATGCTTATTTGAATGAGCAGAAAACTATGCTAAGCCAATTTAATGGTGATAAATTCTTATTAGAGCTTTTTTAAGTAAAATGGAATCATAGGTTTCTGTACGCGTATATATCAGACTACAACATAACAATTTACTATGTCTGCACGCTGCATCAAGCCTTGCCTTTTAAATGGTAAAATTTCCTCTCGACATTCCACAATTGTTTGCTGGCTGTGTGACAACATTGCTCACCCTAAATGTGCCGACTTTGGGCACAGTGCTGGCCTTATTGCAGACCGGACTAAACCAAATTCTAACCTGGATTGGACCTGCCCTAGTTGCCATCATATCAAATTCGATATTATGGCTTTCATAAGGAAAACCAATCTGGAGTACCAGTCCTTATTGGCCGGTTTTAGGGACTAATTCACTCGGTTTGAAAATCCAACTTTACAAGCCGTTTGGCTACCAGGATGGTCTCTACTGTTGTTGCTGACGACCGCACGGTTGACGCTTCATCCGGACCTTTACCCGCCGCTGCCTATTCAGGACCGCCCGTCCGACTCGCTGGCATAATTTTGACACCTTCTAATACGAACACGGGACCACCGCAGTCAACCATATCTGGAGTCGCTCCAGCCCTTATCGGGCGTTGCACTAAAAAAGCTTATTTTTGTCTCCCGCCTTAATCCTGAAGCTTTTGAAGATGACGTCAAAAACTACCAGTGCAGCAAACTGAATGTTTCTCGAGCTGAACTAATCGTCTTGAAGTTCTTCGTTTAAAATTGGACTTCCTGAGGAACATCTTAATAAAGCTCTCGATTTTTAATGCTCGCTACCAGAATGTTCGCAGCTTATTGAGCAAACATAGTAAAATGCACGTCAACAGTGTCTCCTTCGATGCCAACGTAATTGCTTTACCGAAACGTGGCCTAATTCCTCTCTGTCTGACTGCGAAATATTTGCTGGAAATTATGTTATATTTAGATGTGACCGCACGATGCGTCTGAACGCATTCCGATAACTGGTACAGACATCATATTAGAGTTTATTGCACTTCGGATTAAGCTTTATGATTATTTCGCTTTTATATCATGCTCGCATTTCCCCTTGTTCTGATATTAGTCTCTACCTTCAGCATTTGGCTCAAACATTACTGTCATATCCCGAAATCGAAATAGCATCTTTTCGCTGGTCTTTTATGGATTCAAATGATGATCCCTTACACATTGTAGAACAGTTTTATGGTATACTCTTTTTCAATACGTACGTTCCCTCATTTCCCTCTGGAAATGCATATCATAATCCCCCGTGGTTCTCTCGTAGACTCTCTTTCCTGAAAAACTCCATGTCCAGACTTTTTAAGAAATTTAAGAAAACTGGGCTACAAGCTGACCACTCGATGTATCTAATTGCTCGTTCCAATTTTTTCTTCCGAATGTTACAATAGTTATCTAAACCGTTGCAGAATAGAAATTCCAAGACAACCCCAAGCAGTTCTACGCATTTGTTAATTCGAAACAAAAATCGCAACAATATCCTTCACCTTGATACGACATCCCTAGAGGCGGATTGCCAGTCCACATACTCTTCTTTTACGATAACACTTCATCCTACCCATACTCTCTTCCTCACTCCAACTATATTTTCACGCCCTTAATTAGTGAGGATGTTTTACAAAATCTGCTAACAATCAAGACGACTTTCTATTCGGGACCTGATCTTGTACCGAGCTCTGTTATAAAAAAATGTGCTGATGCTTTGTGTAAACCATTATCTAACCTTTTTCAGATATTCCTCCTACATTCGTATTTCCCTGAGGTTTGAAGGTATTGCAAAACTGAGCGCGATCCCCAAGCTTTTTGATCAGCTTATTACCGCTCAACTACAGCACCAATGCAGCTTAGTAATGTCCCCAACTCAGCATGACTTTATGAAACGAAGGTCAACGACTACAAATCTTCTTGAATTACCTCAGTCATCAGAAGCGCTTTTAAAAATAACTATCAAGCTGATGTTATTTCTACGGACTTCAGTAAGGCTTTCGATTTCGTGAACCATCAGTTATTACTGAAAAAACTAATACTCTTAGGAATCCCGATCCCGTTGACAATGTGGATTCAACATACCTGTCGGACCGGACTCAGAGAGTAGCTTTTAAAAGCACATTCTCTAACATTATTCACGTAACCTCAGGTGTTCCACAAGGGAGCCACCTAGGATCCCTACTGTTTGGAATTTTCATAAATGTCATACATCAAGTAGTTCTCTCTTCTCATGTTATGATGTATGCTGAAGAAGCAAGCCGATCTGAACAATCTGCATTCTTGGTGCATTCAGAATTTGCTGTTTTTAAACAACTCGAAATGTAACTTTATGTTCTTTTATCGGAAGAGGCTTCTCCTCACTTCATATTCTATTGGGTCAATGATCTTGAACGCATAAATTTCGTAACAGACCTTGGAGTGTTATTCAACCACAAGTTAAGCTTCTCTGATCACATTGGCATTATAATTCTAAATAACATTCCAGAAATTTGTAATATTGGTTCTCTTGAAATTAATGATGAGAGCATTTCTGAAGCTATTTCGCAATTTTACGACTCCATTAAGCCTGTCATTGATGGAGTTTCTTCATTTTTTCTTAAAAAATTTATCACAGTCTTTTTCAACCCCTTAAGATGATCTTCTCGTCTTCGCTACTTCGGGGTAAATTTATTTCTAGATGGAATAGCCAAGACTACTGATAAGGTTTCTCACTCTGCCTTGCAAGCAAAACTTTTTAAGCTTGGTATTCATTGCTCATTTCTAAATTGGATCTCTTCTTATTTGGCAAACCGATCCTATCAAGTTGAAGTCAGCGGGTTTGTTTCTAACCTCTTCCTCAAGGCAGTTCTCTTGGTCCTTTGCTTTTCATTATTTTCATTAATGATATTTGTATCTGCATTCAATCTGGCAAGTATCTTCTTTATGCGGATGACCTTAAAATATACATGCCAGTGAATTCCTTAATTGACAGTTATTTGTAGCAAATATCTTGAACAAAATCAGTTTATGGTGTATTCAGAACAATTGACCTCTCAACCTAAAAAAATGTTATGTTGTTCGCTATAGTAAATGTATCTTAAATATTCTTTCTACATATGTTATCAATAACCATTCACTCTCTGCACTTACTGAGATTATGGATCTTGGGGTCCTCTTCGACAGTAAATTTTTGTTTATTAACCATATAAACCATGTTCTGCCGAAGGCATATGTAATGTTCGGATTTTTCAAAATAAACACTATACTTTTTAAGGACCCATACTCACGACTGACAGTGTTCTCAGCATTTGTGCGTTCAAGAGTGGAATATGCTTTCTTTATTTGGAACCCGTCAAGTGTTGTTCATATCAATAGAATTGAGAGGCTGTAGAAAAAATACCTAAAATTTGCACTTCAGCCGTTAAACTTTTCGGAACCTTTGCCAGCTTACTCTAGCCAATGTTGCCTACTGCATACCTGTAGTCTATTAGATCGGCGTTCGATAGCGAGCTTGCTCTTTATCAATGATGTTATAATTGGTAATATAGATAGTCCATTCATATTAAGCTCAATTAAATTCAATATCCATGCCAGGAATCTCCGTACCATCATCCCATTTTTTGAAAGTGCTGCAAGGACTAACTATGCGCAAAATGGGCCAATTTTAAGAACTTTAAGACTTTTTAACTCTTTGCCACTTAGTATTCGATTGGTTTGGGGATCCAAGAAGGATGTGCTTAGGCAATTACTTAGGGAATATTTTTTAATTAATACTTAGTTTTAAGTTAAGTTAGCTGATGGCCAGATAAGGATTTATCCATTGAAGAATACATAAATAATTAAATTATAGTTAGTAAAGCAAAATAGGTTTTTGTATTTGTTAAACGTCGGTCTAAGGAATTTGAGCACCCCTATTCCACGAAGCACTTATATATTTTTTTTTGGTTCGTCCAATTCTTGAATACTGCTCGTGTGTTTGGGCTCCTCAATATACCAATTATCAGGACCTTATAACGTCGGTACAGAAACACTTCCTTTTGTTTGCTTTACGTGGTTTAAACTGGGATCCACATCGTCACCTACCATCTTACGTGCATAGACTGCGCCTACTAAACCTGCCCTACCTCAAGGATCGTCGGACCTGTCATTTGCCTTCACAAATTAATAACTGGACTTGTACATTCAAGCTACCTACTGGGTCAAATAAGGTTCTCCATCCCTGTAAGGTCTACTCGTCACATTCGACCTATTGCCCTAGATATTTGTAAGACGAATTTCGGGTTTTATGTTTGCAATATAACGAACTGTAGTTTTTTATATTTTCTGAATGCTCTGTCAAGTTAATTGTAAGAAACATCCTAACTCACCTGTCCGTGCCCTTTCCCACTTGATGTGAGTCGGGTACTATTGTTTATGTTGGAAGATATTTGCTAACTTTAATGTAATAAATAAATAAATAAATAAATAAATCGTCAAGAGGTGTTTTTATTTGATATTTTAAAAGCCAAAAAACACAGTTCTGTACTCCTGATCACAAAATAATTGTTATACATATGCAGAAAGTACTATAATTTCAGTGAGAAGTTTGCAATAAGGAGACATTTCCGACCCTAAAAAGTATATATATTCTTGATCAGCATCACTAGGAGATCCATGCTTATCTTTCTGTCTGTCTGTTCGTCCGTCTGTCCGTCTCCCAAAAAAACAACCGGTAGTCAGTATTTTGACTACTCACTTTATCGATGAATGAAGAAATTTGTTTAATCGTTCTAGATTTTGTTTTTCAGTAACACTTTTTTCTTATAGAATATTGCCAAATACGTTCCCTGGAACGTGGGGGCCTACTGAATAGCTCCGAATCCCGGTCACTGGCGTCATCTTCGTCGTCTTCGATGCGGTAGGAGGCTGACTGGAGCGACGTCGGCTCCACAAACCTCCGCGGAGTCCTGCAAACCGGGATACTTTAGGAGCCTGGAAGTCGTCGTCTCTCTCCGCCGACCTACCGTCTGCCTCGCCTTCCCACGTGACGAACACCTCCTCCGTTGCTTCGCCATCTCCGTCACAGTAATTCATCTTCGTTGTCGTCGACCAAGATACTAGACCAGACGGACCGGGTGACCGCGTACAGGTCTCAAATACTACGGGGAGGGAGGTTAGGATACTAGACCAGACGGGACGGATGTCCGCGTACAGGCCACATGCACTACGAGGAAGGAAGCTAGGATACTACGAATAAAAAGAAGCACGAACGGGGAATTTAACCTTTTACTTCTCTTTATTTTTTTTCTAGGTTATTTTATTTATCTACTATCCTCCTACGAGTCCGCTACACCGTCTTTACTCAACGGAGAGGAATTTTGTGTACACTAACCTCTAAACACTAATCAGCCCACTTGTTCACTGATCGCGTGCCTTCGCGCGGTCGAGGCGTCACTCGAACTATCCGGAAAAATCGCTGAGCTACCGCACACGTCCGCTTCGTTTTACTATTCCGGCACGAGAGCCCCTTATTCATTTGTCACGTGCCGTCGCGCGGTCGAGGCGTTACTCGGATTACACGGAAAATTACTGCGGGAGACACGTCTTACCATTCCGACACAAAAGTCCCTTATTCATTTGTCACGTGCCGTCGCGTGGTCGAGGCGTTACTCGGATTACACGGAAAATTACTGCGGAAGACACGTCCGCCCCGTCTTACCATTCCGACCCAAGAGAGCGCTCGCTCGATCGGTGTTTGGCCACCTTCCCCACGCTCCCTTTTTCTCGCTTTCGGAATTTCTAGTATGTTCCTTAATTTCTAGTATTTTCTATTACTCACTAAATATCGGCTGGCGTTGCCACTCGGGTTTGGAACTTAACTACGGCTTAATATTCGGTTTAAACTTAATATTTATTATCCATTATGCGTCGCTTACACCTGTAACCTTACATACTATTAACTTAATATTTATTATTCATGATAAGACGCTTACACCTATAACTTTACATACTACTAAAAATTGTATTGTACACCTAGATGTGTACGTTACACCCCACCCTTTCTTCCCGTGGCGCGATAAAGAGGCGCCCGTCGCCGGTAAACTAACCTTCGAGTTCCCTACGTGACGGTGTAGCTAACAAAGGACTCGGTCTTAATCTATTACAATGGTTATACGAGGCTTATACAGTGGTTATACAATGGTTATACAGTGATTATACAATGGTTATTAAATTTATCTGCGGCTGCATGCTGCTTACTGTGCCGGGTTACTCAGTCCGGCGACGCTGTCATCGATCCTGTCTAGAGTGGCTTCTGCGTAGTATGGTTTGAGTTGGGATATGTTGGCGATCCGTCGCCGTCGTAACTTCGTAACGGTGTAAGGGCCGTCATACTTGGGAGCAAGTTTGGCGGCGAATCCCTCGGCTGCTTTCGATAAGGTATGCTGTCGAAGCCAGACTTGACTGCCGAGCGTGGGTCTCCATTCTCGCCTTCGTAGGTTGTAAAGTCTCGCCTGGTCTTGAGACGCTCGTATGATGTCGAAGATTCCTTAGAGGTGAGACGCCTTGTCTTCAGGGCCTGTATGCACGACCGCCGATCCGGGGGTGAGTTCATCTTACAGCATCGCAGGCAAGCGTGGTTCACGTCCTTGAGTTAGGAACGCGGGGATATACCCCGTCGAATCCGATATACTGCTATTGATCGCGAGGGATATCTCTGGCAACATATTATCCCACGAACTCTGGTCGCCTTCCGACAGCTGGGATATCAGCGTCTTCACAGTGCGGTTGGTCCTTTCTGTGGGATTCTCCTGTGGACAATATGGAGCCGTGTACTGGATTTCTATGCCGAGCTTGGTGAAATAGTCTTTTAGGACCCGGCTCGTGAATTGGGTTCCATTGTCGCATACGAACTTCCGGGGAATGCCCACTCGTGCAAGTATGCGTTCCCGAAACGCTTTCTGCACTTGAGCTGCGGTGGCTTTCCGGAGTGGTAACAGTTCTACCCATTTCGAGAATACGGCGTGAAACACCAGAAGCATAGTATTTCCTTGTTTCGACCGGGGCAGTGGGCCCACAAAGTCCGCACAGAGAATGTCGAAAGGTTCACTGACGACACGGGTTAGCATCTTACTTGCCGCTTTGGTTTGTTCCGTCTTAACCTTTTGACAAGATTCACAATGGCGAACATGGCGTTTTGCGTCACGATATATACCGGGCCAGAAATACCTCTGCGTCAGACGAGTGATCGTTTTTCGGACTCACAAGTGTCCTGCGGTCGGGGAATCGTGGCACTCATGTAAGACGCGGCCTTTCGGGAAGTGGGCACACAGAGCTTCCACGGGAGTAGTCCTCATCGTCAGCTCGGTAGCCCATGTTCCTGTAGAGCTGGTCGTTTTCAATCATGTAATCGGCGAACTTCTCGGGTTCCTCCTGTATTTGGTCTTTCATCCTTTTGATCCAGTTGCAGTGGTCCTCGAGTTCGACAGCTCCTTGCAGTACCTCACAAGGCTGTCGAGAAAGTGCGTCGGCCACGACGTTCAATTTACCTCGTCGATAGCGTACGTCGAATTGGAATTGCTGCAATTCTAACGCCCAAGGGCTCTCAATAGAATTTAGCCACTTGAGAGCTAGATGGTCAGTAACGACCTCGAATCGGTACCCTTCCAGGTAGCACCGCATCTTCCGGATTGCCCAGATTATGGCCAGACACTCTTTCTTAGTCGACGGCTAGCGTATGCGATGACCCTCTCTTGACTTTAGGAGACCTGTTATAAAACTACGTCCAAGCCGACGTCACTCGCGTCTTTTTGCAAAATGAACTTCTGGTCGAAATCCGGACAGACTAATACGGGAGCAGTACTCAGGCAGGCATCTTTTAATTTTTTACAAGGCGGCTTGTTGTTCTGGTCCCCAGGTCCACTTCCGTCCCTTCTTTAGTAACGCAGTCATCAGTTGCACGATAGTCGCGAAGCTAGGGACAAATCTCCCATACCATAAGGCCATCCCGATCCATTAGCGGAGTTCCTTTAAGTTGGAGGGGGCCTTCAACCCGTTGATCGCAGACACCTTCTCGGGATCAGTATGAATTCCGTCACTGCTTATAACATGACCGAGGTAAACGAGTTTCTGCTTGAAAAAACAACACTTCTTTGGATTTATCCTTAAATTCGCCGCCCGCAATCTGCGGAATCTTCCGAGAGATGAGTAAAGTGCTGTTCTTCTGTCGCGCTTATGATAATAATATCGTCTAGGTAAGCGAAGGCGACCGGTTCCATTTCCACGCCGATTACACTATCCAGAGCGCGTTGAAACGTGGCACTGGCAGAATGCAACCCGAAGGGCATGACCTTCCCTTGATACAATCCTCTCCCAGGGACCGTGAACGCTGTATACTGGCGACTATCCCTAGCCATGGGAATTTGCCAATAGCCGTGCTTCAAGTCCAACGTGGAGATATATCGGGCGTGGCGTAATTTCTCCAGAATGTGATTGATTCTCGGGACTGGGTAGGCGTCGGGCACTGAGTGTGCGTTTAACTGACGGTAATCTACACACATGCACCAATCGCCAGTTTTCTTCTTGACCAATACGATGGGAGCGCTGTGCGGGCTTCTGGAGGGTTCGATGGCCCCGTCACGGAGCAGTTCGTCTACTTGGGCATCGATGACATGTTGCATCGCAGGGTTCCGGGGATAATACCTTTGTTTTACGGGCTTGTCGTCGCGCATGACGATAGTGTGCTCGGCGACGTGAGACACCCCATGCAGCTTCTCGAATAAGGCCAGTTCCCTATCGATGAAGCTTTGTTGCGCCGGACTCAATAGTGTGCTCTGCCGCTGTTCGTCGTTTTCTACCGTCCCCATCCTAATGGGCGCGCCGGCATTGATGTTCGGGGTCATAGCTCGCGTAGGAATAGGACTGGGTGTCTCTGCTTCTTCTGGCCTGGTTGCCCCGCGCCTTTATAAGTACTGGCTGTAAGAGAGGGTCTCCTGCCGCTTGGGCTTCATTTTGCAAGTCGAGGGTAGCTCGACCACATCGCACCTGAGTTCCCCCTACTTTGAGGAAGTCCATTCCAAGTATTACACGATCTAACATGGTGGGCATTACTAACATAGGTAAGAGCACCGTAGTGCCGGCCAGAGCTTCGTCACATCCAGACATGACCGGTCGGCCAACGCTATTCTAGTGACAACATCCTGTAACTCGTCTGCACTCGCGGCCAGTCGAGTAAAACTTTCACTGACGAAACTCCTCGATGCCCCTGTATCAATGGTGGCGTCCACACGTTGTCCTCCGACTTCTATCGCTGCTGTGATGACCCCCCGTGTAATCTCAACGGGGGTTTTACTGGGGTCGGGTTGCTGCTCCGTTCGTCTCCGCCGCACCCGGGTTCCGGCGGAGGCGTTCTCCGTTTCCCGACACAGTCCCAACAGAAATCCCGACGTGGGTTGAGGCAGTTCCTTTGGAGATGTCCGTTCTCTCCACAGCGATTACAAGCCATCCGTATGTCCTGTCGTGAGGTTCCTTGACCGATCATCTGGTGGGTCACGTGTCCTGTCTGCGTCGTATTCACCGGATTCCGGAATGGGTTCGGCGATCGGCGAAGTTGAGGTTCTTCTTGGTTCCTGTCCATGGTTGCTCTTGGCTCGCGTCGCGTCGTCTCGAGTTGCTTGACACTCTCATGTTCTGTGGCCATATGGGTCAACTGTGTCAAAGTCGCGAATTCACTGCGTTTAATACACAGTCAGTATTCTGGAGCCATGTTTTCGTATGCCCGGTACAATTCAAGTGCCGTAGGCCAAAAATCCACCGGGCTGGACCTTCGGGCGAGGCCAAGCCAGGATACTATTTCGGGAGAGTAGGATCGGGGGGTGGCGTCTCGCGCAAGTCGTTTTCGACGTATCGGATGCCAAAAATCCACCGGGATGGACCTTCGGGCGAGGCCAAGCCAGGTAGAATTTGTCAGACGCGGGTGGGATTGGAGGGAAAAGGATGGCGGTATGATTGACCAATCGGGAATGATGTCCACGCGCAGATCACATGCACTACGAGGAGAAAAGCTATTGTACTAGACCGGACGGGCCGGGTGTCCG